AGTCACAAAAGTAACATGAATAATGAAAAGTGTCTTCCTTCATCTAAACACAAGTTTGTGTATTTATTTTACTTGTCACTCACATTCTCAGTATGACAGCTCATAGATTTTATGTATGCTTGGCCAACATATACAAAAAAGAAATACCATATGTACTGAGGTTTTCCCCTACACCCAGTTCTGGGACAAGGTCAAGTAGGGCGAAGATGTCAAATTGTGCCCCCTACGGAGTGGTAGGGTGGGGTATGCATTGCACCTCACTGAAAAATATGTAACATTCTATCCTTATTCTATTCTATTCTTAAAGTATGAGGCTGCAAGAGACAGAAAAATGCCCTGGCACTGCTGTGAGGATAAATGCCCCTGTGTTGATGGCGCCACTGTAGGGGCCCATTCACAGTTCCTGCACACTAAACCCCAGCGGTTTGGCATATGTCAGCTCTCCTTCCCAGCTTCAGTGAGCTGGCAATAGAGGGTGTGATGTGCATTTCAGCACATCACACAGTTCCCTTTTTATTTTGTTTCAGCTTTATTTGAAGTGCACAAAGTGACACTTCTTTCATGTCCCTGCACAGCAGCCTGGTGCGTTGTGCTGCTGAACAGTGACATGCAATATCATCCTGTACACTGCAATAAAATGCAGAATATCTGCAATTCATTGCAGCTCACTGCACCTCACCTCTGAGCTGGGTTTCAGAGTGAACAGGACACATAGAAAACAGTTGTTTTCTGTGTGCCCTAGTGGTGACCTGAGTTCATCTAGTGCATTAAAACGCAGGTCACTGCATGTGTGAACAGAACCTTAGGTAGAAATGCACCTGCATCTGTCATTAAAAGAAGAAAAATGTCTTTTGATGACTGACATTACTGATGTCAGTGGAATGACAAACGTCCTTATGTTTCTGTTGTCACTGGAGATAATAAAATTATCCCTACATCCATCATAGGTGAAGTGCACCAGTAATTTTAAGATCGCAATTTAAACTTATTCCCACAGGCTGCACACATATACGCAGAAGCTGGGGGTGGGCTTTAATGCCGTGTGGCCACATATATGTGTCCCTTTTTTTCTGTGCCAGAAGCGTGCTCACTTTCAGCAAAGAAACTAGGTTTCACAGGCAGCTCCTGATGCATAATTGTGATCATGAGCTTTCAATCATGTGACTGCTGTGACATCTAATCACAGTGGTCACAAGATCTGAAAGCCTGCATCTGCTTTCTGGTATTCTAAGGATCCTCCTAAAGGCAAGGGGCTAAGGTCCACTACACTGTGTAATGATAACGCGTACTGAGCCCTCACAAAGCTGTGTGGAAGGGCAAGGACACCATGTTCTTCAGATTCAGCCATGACAGTTTATAGCACAAAGTGGTAAACAGCAGCAGTAGTTCCCTTCTTTTCATTCCCCCAGGAAGCCTTTGGTGCAATACACAACTGTTAACTGATGCCAGAGCCTTCTTATCAGACCAGGACAGATATAGGCCCTCTCATGCCTATTAGCCCAATCCCTTTATTTCAGTCTGAAAACCCTAAAACTGTCACCCTTGCAAGCTTGAGCATTCTGGAGACCTAACAGACCTTGGGTCATAAATACCTCAGCTGAATACACATTTATGATAAACGGCTTACCAGCCAAGATTCTAAAACTGCAGCACGTTTCATAACTTCTGAAATTGTGACAGTATAGCCAGAATAAAGTCATATTGACCTTCATAAGTAAGCTCGAAAGAGTAGGGCCCTCTTAAACCTCGTATGTTGTTTGTTATTGTTGTACTGTGCCATGTATTGTCCCCCCCTCAATTGTACAGCGCTGAGCAAAACCTTTGGCGCTATATAAACTCGATGTAATAATAATAATAATAATAATAAGTTATTGGGTAGCATTTTGAACCCAAACCCCTATGCTTGGAGGTACCAGAGTGAATTAGGCCTCCACACCTCACCTATGAGAAACGGATGTCCGAGACCTGTAGCAGACTGTAAACAGTTGGTATTCAAAAATATGAATACTTTTAAGAAACTGTATTTGAGACTTGGTCATAGACTTGGTGACCTCCCAGAACCCACCCCTTAAACCGGATGATTGTCTGATGGTCTCTGTCAACACCCCCTTGATGTTAGATAAAAAAAAGAGATTGCAAGCAGATTTGATAGCTCTCATTTATCACCAGCCAAGGAACACCTAACCGGACTGGAGAAAGCCACTGCATCATTTTTGCTTGAACAATTGGACTCTTCGCAAGGTCTTCGCAAGTATTGTTCATTTTCAACTTTATTTTTCTGTTGCTTTATGGTTTCTTTGTAACACCTTTTTCTGTAAATATTTCTTTTGCACCATTTTGATCTATTCATTATTAAAACCTATTTTGAAAAGTGTTAAAACTGTCCCTAAGGTTTTTAATGCAAACTAGAAGAATCCCTGTCTCTTGAAGAGTGCTACTGTATATGACAAATTTCTGAATATACCTATCTGTGGTGACAGTGTGTGTACAGACGTTTATTTTTCATATTTGTTCTTGCTAAATTGTGAAAGGTTTATAGGTCCAAAGATACTGTATCTGGTGGCAGTTTGGAATTTAACCCAGTGACAATCGCTCTTAGTCTGTTGGCACTTAGATTGTGGTCCTGCAATCTGGAAAATAGCTGGAATATATGCCCTCAGGTTCTCCCTTCCTCCTAGAGAAATGGGAATGGCTCCCCTTCTGAAATCTCCAGCCTCCCCACAGACACCAGTTTGAGCGGTGTCTAATCTCAAGGATGAGATATGCCAGTGGGTTCCACCCACCTTCACCTCTTCTGTCCTGGGTATAAAGTATTTTCCGCACTTGTCCTGCCTGCTTTCTTCTTGTGTCAAGCTTCTGTTGGAGGGAGGACAAGAATAAAGAAGAAACTTCTATCCAGCAGCTGTTGCAGTTTCCACGCTGTGCCCTGTTCTCCAGCTGCCTGAATGACAAGAGTGATGGCAGCGTCACTCCGGTCATTCAGAGAGATGGAGAACAGGGCAGAGACAAGCTCCCAGTGCCCCCTCTCTTCAGGATGACACTGCGCCCAGGGCAGGTGCTCCTGCCTCCCCATTTTCCCGGCTGTGCCTACACCTATAGTTAATGGATATTTCTCTAATGTAATGAGGTTTAAAACTATGTCAGAAGTTGGAATCACTTTGTCCACCCCAAGAGAAGTATAACCAAAATATTTAGGGGTCTCTTCTTTGGGATCCAAATGCTTCATGAACATACCTCACCATCCTGGCGGTATCCTTGTCATAAATGGCACTTCATCCCAGTTGGATTTCAGGTACAACTGAATTGATAGATATCCAGTGAAGCAATACACATAGGTTGGCATCATCAATATGCAGCACAGGCAAGCTTATCTTATAATGCAATGCACAGTGTAGTGACCCTTGAAATCTGATCAAAGTGCAAGCACCAAATTCATAACACTAGCACAATGCCAGCACTTTGAAGAGCCAAATAGAGACTAGGCTACAACAAGCAAGGCAGTGATGGCTCCAGCATTTGGTGAGCAAAATTACATTATTACCTTTGGGGTCACATGTAGTTTTGTGATCATCAAAACGTGTCATAAATTTGAATTTACATGTCACTGTGGCTATGCAAGTACTTCGCCTGTTCATGTCATTTTTAAAAAAAAGTTTTCAATATTTTGGAATGTAAAGTTTTCTTTACTATAATAGCTGGTGATCCTACAATGAAGAACCTTGTTCAGGCACTTCCTGGTAAAGGGTGAGAAAGCACTATCCCTGTCTCCCTGTTATGCTCCTGTGCCCTTGGCCTATCATACAGGCTTCCGTTGTAGACTGCAAGCAGTTTTTTCATGATGTTGTTTTTCTGGTTTACAATGTCACTTTATGCACTGACATATCTCTTTAGACCCAGTCTGTCCAGACAGTATGGTCACCTGCTAACATGGCACCATCCACAGGAAGCTTAACTCTTCAAAGAGACACAGAAATTTAATCCAAAACAATAGGGGGTGTCACGGACTGCCAAGGCCTCTCCCATCCCCCGCCATATCCCTCCACCCTCCCTCCCCCCTTGCACATTCCGATGTCTGTGGAGCTTCCATGGACAGGGCTGGGCCAGCCGTTGCCGAGGCAACCTAGCCATGTCCCACATGGTTTTCAAAAGACCCGCACAGGTAGCAGCCCTCCTCTCTTTGTTCCTGTCCATGCTGCTGGAATCATCTTGCTCCCAGAAAGATGCTAAGAGGCTCGGGTGAGGGGGACCGAGCCTCCCTAGCCATCTCCCCTGCGCACTCCCCCAAAAAGGGGACCCCCAAAAGGTCAGGACTGTAGCCCTCTGCAATACCCCAGGGTTGGGAGTCTCACCACAGCTCTGCATGAGCCTTCTCCTCAAAGGTCAGACCCCACAGCTGAGACCCTGCCAGACCCTGCAAGTCTGTAAGCCTGTCTACTGAGCACCCTTGCACCCTGTCTGCTGCTGAGTGCCCTGGGAGCTGCTGCTGAGGGACCCTGCACGTTGTCCTTGGCTGCGTGATCCTGGAGGCTGTCTGCTGCTGAGTGCCCTGGGAGCTGCTGCTAAGGGACCCTGCACACTGTCCGTGGCCGCGGGTCCCCGGAAGCCGTTCGCTGCTGAGTGCCCTGGGAGCTGCTGCTGTCTGCTGATTGCTGGTTGTCCCTGGAATGCTGACCGCTGGTCTTCCCTGTCTGGAGCTGCCTGCCACTGAGGGTCTGCAAGCTGCTTACCGTGAGTGTCCTGAACTGTCCCCGCTGTGTGCACCGACCACCCGTGTTCTGAACTGTCCCCGCTGTGTGCACCGACCACCTGTGTCCTGAACTGTCCCTGTTGTGTGCATTGACCACCTGTGTCCTGAACTGTCCCTGCTGTGTGCACCGACCACCCGTGTTCTGAACTGTTCCCGCTGTGTGCACCGACCACCCATGTCCTGTACTGTCCCTGTTGTGCGCACTGACCACCTGTGTCCTGAACTGTGCCTGCTGTGTGCACCGACCACCCGTGTTCTGAACTGTCCCCGGTGTGTGCACCGACCACTTGTGTCCTGAACTGTCCCCGTTGTGCACACAGACCACCTGGGTTAGGCACTGCCCTACTACACGCCTAGACTATCCTTACTTGAACCGCCCCATGGTGTGCCCGGAGTATAGCTACCTGTGGTGCCCCTGAGTGCTTGAGCCATCGCTACCCGTTGAGTCCCCGTGAACCCAATGTCCCTAGAAAGCTGGGTGGGAGCTGTGCTGAGGCCAGACTCCACAGCTAGAGTCCCGTTGAGTGCCTGAGACCCCTGCCCAGGGGTAGGTTGCTGCCTGTTGCCCGAGGCCCCTGCCCAGTGGTAGATTGCCACCTGTTGCCCGAGGCCCCTGCCCAGTGGTAGGTTGCCACCTGTTGCCTGAGACCCCTGCCCAGGGGTAGATTGCCGCCTGTTGCCCGAGGCCCCTGCCCAGTGGTAGGTTGCTGCCTATTGCCCGAGGCCCCTGCCCAGTGGTAGGTTGCCGCCCGTTGCCCGAGACCCCTGCCCAGGGGTAGATTGCCGCCTGTGGCCCGAGGCCCCTGCCCAGGGGTAGGTTGCCACCTGTTGCCCAAGACCCCTGCCCAGGGGTAGGTTGCCGCCTGTTGCTTGAGGCCCCTGCCCAGCGGTAGGTTGCCGCCTGTTGCCCGAGCCCGTGCCCAGGGGTAGATTGCCACTTGTTGCCCGAGGCCTCTGCCCAGTGGTAGGTTGCCGCCTGTTGCCCGAGACCCCTGTCCAGGGGTATATTGCTGCCTGTTGCCCGAGGTCCCTGCCCAGTGGTAAGTTGCCGCCTGTTGCCCGAGGCCCCTGCCCAGTGGTAGGTTGCCGCCTGTTGCCCGAGGTCCCTGCCTAGTGGTAGGTTGCCGCCTGTTGCCCGAGTCTCCAATCCGCTGTCCAGTCATGGAGGGAGCTCAGCTGAGGCCCCAAGCCTAGGGGGAAGATTGCCTGCCTGTCGCTGAAGACCCCCCGTGCCTGGAATCGTCCCTGGTTTGCGCACACATCACCCTCCCTGCCATTTCCCCATTGAGTGTCTGTCATTTTGTTGCTTCAATAAAGCTTTGTGTATCCCCCATCTTCTCCGTGTGCTCTGTCCTGCCTACGCTTCCGTTACAGGGGGGATTTACTAAAACTGGAGCGCTCATAATCTGGTGCAGCTGTGGCTGTTAGCCAATCAGATTCTAACTTCAGCTTGTTCAATCAAAGTGGAACTTCACTCTCTCAATCAACATTGACTATTTTTAATCCTTATGTTTCTATCACTAGTAAATAGATAAGAAAGTATATCACATTTAATCGTTTTAAACTGTTTTTTTACATTTCCATGCCTAGGCAAATGATGTCATACATCCCAGGAGTCTTCAGGAAAGGAGGAGTGGTTTTCTCAGCTGAGCATACCCTCCTGCCTGCATGCCTGAGCTAACAGCAGATAGATTCCAGGAAGTAAATGCTACATGACTCATCTGACCTTACTCAAGATGGCCACTGCCAAAAATGCTAGGGAGTCTTTTTCAAAGTGATTTCTCTGCAAAATAAAGCATGGAGATATGGACGGATGGGTAAGTTTGCTATGAATATTAAAAATTAATTTATTGTGCTTATGGTTTGCGGTGCTCAGATACAGTGTAGTTCAGCTTAAAAGCGTTGACAATAAAACTTGGAAGCTTACTGGTTTCTATGCAGAGCTGCACCAGATTTTGCACCATGCAGTTATAGTAAATAACTCCCAATGTTATTTCACTTACCCGCAGTACAGAGGATGTTTTTCCAATCTTTTGAAGTGTTAAGAGACAATGGCTTTCTTAAAGTATTACTAAACCTACAACAGTAAAATCAGCCTGTATATGCAGTAAAGTATGCTTATACTCACTGTGGAACGGGGTTAGTCCTCTGCATTATGTAAAAACGCTGTTTCATCATGACTTCTCTGATCCTCCTCTTCTTCCAGTGCCCCCCTCTTATCTCCTGATAAGACATATCATGTGGAGTCACTCTGCACATGCTCAGTTTGGTGTGTATTGCCAGAGAGGTTTTTTTTTTTCCTGGGAGAGTGCATGTGATTAGCATAAGACCAATCAGCACTGTCCAGACAGAGGTCAGGGGTCTTGCATCCACCTACAGCGGAATGAAAACTCCTCCTATAAGCTTTACCATGTACTGGGCTGGACACTGATAGAAGTCACAAAACTGCTATAACTCCTGATGAGAAAAGGTATTTAGCAGTTTATATTTACTAAAATATTTGCATTTCCATGTTCTGTGTACTGTGGGAGACCAGATATAGTGAATGCAGGGTCATGGGTTTAGTAACACTTTAAGCCCTGGCTCTGTGAACAACTAACATTGACTGAGGTAAGAAAGAAAATTGTGAAGGTCCAAGTAGAGCTGAACTAGCTAGTCTTAAACAGGAGGAGAGAGATACCAAATCACATAAGTAAACAAGTAATAGCCCAATGTCGCAACTAGATGTCAGCATACTACAGAACAAAAATAACCAGATGCAGCTCAATACAACACAAAAAATACATAAAAGTAGGGCAGAACAGTTGTCACTATCAGAAAACTCACCCTGAAAAATGCCCTTCAAGCATTGCTGGAATGTATGTAGTGGCAGCAACAAGGCAACAAAAGATTAAAAACATATTTTTCTAGCAAAATTGAAATTATTTATGATACATGGTGCATTAGTAAATTATGAATTGGAAATCAGTTAGGGTATAGATCTTCAAAGTTTCTTATTGTGAATAGAATTCCTTTCTTGCAGTGCATATAGTATGACGGGCATACTATATACACTATATACACATACTAAAAATAATCTAGCATGGTGCACATAGCAGAACATTAGCAATTTGGAACTCCAATGATTAAAGGAGATTATTTTTTATAGCCTTCAGGTTTCCATGACAATTGACCAGCAGATCTTATGAGAGTGTTCCTAATAATCTAGGATAAACTATATTTAGTGTTTCAGGTATTACACGATGGGCTACTGAGCGCACACCTATTGCATTGGAACAGGGTGTACTGAACGATCTAACAGTATAATCAAAAATCCTTTTTTTCCTTGCAGTGAAAGTACTAACAGAACGAGCTGCTAATGAAAGCCGGCTCAGGCCGTCATTTCTCAACTCGGTCTAGAAAATTTCATGTAAAAAATGCAGAGGGTCTGAGAAAACCAATATTTGTAATTAAAAATCAACAGACGAATATTCATAAGGTTTCATGTGACAAGCTGCCACAGAGGTCCCTGGCGTAATTGCTTTTTTTTCCCTCCTTTTTGAATATGCTGTGCAATGTAATGATAAATCTGCACTCTATCCAATGCACAAGAAAAATGACAGTGACTTTTCATTATGCTGGAGGAACGAGGCACATCTATCATCTGCTTGCTTCTGCTTTAGTTTTAATTACACCACTACATTCAGGAATGGGAATTCGAGTAATAAACCTTGCAAGAAAGTAGGCGTTAATTTGCAGAACAGTGGTTAAATGCTTGGCTCCAATGCAGTTGATTTGCCGTAAAGATGGCATATTTTAATATCATAAATAACAAAGAGTGAAACAATGTTTTCTTGGTAAATAGGCATGGTTCTCCAAGAGGGACTAGGAATACTTAGTATTAGGTTAAGTAACACTGATGGTAAAGTCAGAGGGCATTTATCTAGCGCTCATGTGCAAGCGGACAGCTGTTCTGTCAATTGTGAAGCCAAATGGACACCAAACAGTGACATTAAATATGAGAAAAACATCAGGGAATTACTCCTTTTCAAAATGCCAGTTGCTTGGTTGTCATGATGATCCTCTTCTTTCCATACTTTGATTCAATAATCCATAACAAGCAAAATATATAAGCACTTTTTTTTGACCTTCCCAACTTTCATATTTTTCTCACTCAAAAAGATTAAACCATTCCTCAACAAAGTATTTTTAGGAGTTCAGCAATGGCAGGGCTTGTGCTTTTTTCATGATAGGTTAAAGAATATATAAACCCAACATTTCATATTCCTGATATATGCCTGCTGTACCATGTACTTGTATGAAAAAGTATTCCCAGCATAAGCTGTCGTTTGCGGACGACATATCGCTGTCTGTTACTAATCCAGGGGTACCCTGCAGAACTTGCTGGCAGTTCTGGACTCCTTCGCTGCTCTTTCAGGTCTCTATGTCAATCCCGCTAAATCTAAAGCCATGTCTATTACCCTTTCCCCCATGCTACTGGCAACTCTGAAGCAATCGTTTTCTTTTCAGTGGCTTTCGGTCTTACCATACCTGGGGATTAAGATCACCCCGTCTTACGAAGGACTGTATCAAGCTAATTTCCCCTCTGTCTTTAGGGACTTGAAGGAAATGTTTTCTTCCTGGGCTCATCTCCCGCTTTCATGGTTCGGAAGAATTAATGTAATTCATATGACTTATCTCCCAAAATTACTATATGTGTTTCGGGTTTTACTGATCCCTGTCCCTTTGCATATCTTATGTATTCATCAACGGAAGCTTCTGTCTTTCATCTGGGGCTCCTCCCTCCCTAGAATTAATAAGAGAATTTTATTTGTGTGTAGAAACGAAGGTGGATTGTCTGTCCCGAATCTTCATGCATACTATTTAGCGGCAAATATAGCCCCACTAGCCCATCTTCACGCATCTCGCAGTATTCTCTTGTGGGCCACAGTGGATCTGATGGACTCTCACCTGATGCCACTTTCTTCTTTGCCATGGCTCCCACCTGTTCCCTTCACCTTTTAGTCTGACATTAACACATACGCTTTGACTTTGGGACTCCATTAAATATTCTGCCAGTCTTATTTCTGCTCACTTACCCTTGATGCACCTATTCCACAACCCATTGTTTCCCCCGGGCCTTAACAATCCTGGCCAGTTTGTGTGGTGGTCAGCCCATGGCTTCAATGACGTACACTCCATGCTCTCTCCTACCCAGATACTCACTTTTACGACTTTGCGTTCTTCACATGATAACCCGTTGAGGGAACATTTTAGCTACCTCCAACTCCATCACTTTCTTACTACATTATTACGAGCCCATTCAGGTCCCTATAGGATGACTCCCTTTGAAATTCTTTGCAGGCACAGGCCTCATGCACCAGGCTTGATCTCCCTTGTCTATTCTGCTATCATTTCTTATAGGACTCCCCTGGTTTGCTCTTATCATGAGCAGTGGCAATCGGAACTCAGGGGTTGTCTAGATCAGCAAGACTGGCGGATCATGTCTCAAGCATTGTCTAAATGCTTGAGGAATGTTATTATACTAGAAAATGCCTACAAGGTCCTCTATAGATGGTACTATACGCCTGCCCGACTAGCTAATTTTAGTCCCTAATATTCTCCGACTTGCTTTTGGGGTTGTCAACAAATAGGTACCATGGCCCATATTTGGTGGACTTGCCCCAAGGTATGCAGACTATGGATTAGGGTCTATGCCCTTCTCCGCACTATGCTACACACAGATATTAAGCTTAACCCATATGAGGCACTATTATTTAAACCACTAGTAAGCCTTCTCCGTCCTGAGCGGCAGTTAGCATCGCATCTACAGGTGAAACTCAAAAAATTAGAATATCGTGCAAAAGTTCATTTATTTCAGTAATGCAACTTAAAAAGGTGAAACTAATATATGAGATAGACTCATTACATGCAAAGCAAGATAGTTCAAGCCCTGATTTGTCATAATTGTGATGATTATGGCTTACAGCTCATGAAAAACCCCAAATCCACAATCTCAGAAAATTAGAATATTACATGCAATCAATAAAACAAGGATTGTACATAGAACAATATTGGACCTCTGAAAAGTATAAGCATGCATATGTACTCAGTACTTGGTTTGGGCCCCTTTTGCAGCAATTACTGCCTCAATGCGGCGTGGCATGGCAGCTAATAGCCTGCGGCACTGCTGAGGTGTTATGGAAGACCAGGATGCTTCAATAGCGGCCTTCAGCTCTTCTGCATTGTTCAGTCTCATGTCTCTCATCTTTCTCTT